GGAACCTGTTCATCAATATTGTACAGATTTACTATTAGAACCGCCTATAGTGTTTTTCATGTTGGAACCTGTTCATCAATATTGTACAGATTTACTATTAGAACCGCCTATAGTGTTTTTTATGTTGGAACCTGTTCATCAATATTGTACAGATCTACTATTAGAACCGTCTATAGTGTTTTTTATGTTGGAACCTGTTCATCAATATTATACAGATTTACTATTAGAACCGTCTATACTGTTTTTTATGTTGGAACCTGTTCATCAATATTATACAGATTTACTATTAGAACCGTCTATACTGTTTTTAATGTTGGAACCTGTTCATCAATATTGTACAGATCTACTATTAGAACCGTCTATAGTGTTTTTATGTTGGAACCTGTTCATCAATATTGTACAGATCTACTATTAGAACCGTCTATAGTGTTTTTAATGTTGGAACCTGTTTATCAGTATTGTACAGATCTACTATTAGAACCGTCTACAGTGTTTTCGATAATGAGATATGTTTACTAAACATATACAAATCTCTTTTTATTTAAGTTTTTGATGTTCATTATGTAGTGGTCTCTTAATTAAAGAGGCTCGATACCATAACTTACTACGTCGTTTTATTGTTAATATATGTTTAATAGATAAAAACACGTTTATTTTTATACGATTATGACATTTTTTTGTTAACAACTATTGAACAGATGAAACAGATTTACTTGTAATGTTGGGATCTGCTGATAAGGAGGGAATAATTTATTTCTGTATATTTGTGTTTAATGTTGGTATTTGCTGAAAAGAGGGGAAGAATTATTTCTGTATATTTGTGTTTAATGTTGGTATTTGCTGAAAAGAGGGGAAGAATTATTTCTGTATATTTATGTTTAATGTTGGGATCTGCTGAAAAGAGGGGAAGAATGTATTTCTGTATATTTGTGTTTAATGTTGGGATCTGTTGATTACGCTTGTAACTGTTTATACTCTTCAAGATTTGAACATGTTTAGTAGCATTAAAGAACACATGGAGGGGTTACAGAAATGAAGTTTTTATTATGTTCAATAGTTAATTAATTAATTTAGGTCATCTGATATTCTTCTAGTAATGTCCTTCTGAAAGAGCTATCTGTGATAACAATTTGTTTGATATACTTTCAATGAACGAGTTGTTTCTTGGGCACGTTACCATAATTTTATTGTAGTGTTTTAAAGGTGATAACTTACAGTACTGTTCTTCGTACTTTATGAATGCAATACTTCGTGGACATTTACTTTTAGCTTCCAGGTTAATTGACTATACATCATTTTAATATCTTTGTTTTTTCTGAATTAAAAGTGCTTTACAATCATAAGTATCCAATTTTTGTATTTAGATCGTGTTTGATTAATACGGTTAGTGACTACGATAGTTACTTCTTTTATATATCGGGTAAAGTTAGTATTATTAAACATATTCTGAAACAAATCTGGTTCAAGAGGAACAAAATAATGAGGGATATAAGCATAAGTTTCCTAATGAAATATATAGAGTGATTTGTGTGTCTTTAGCTGACAATAATGATTTAGAAGTTCAATAGAGATGACCTTATGATGCTCTTCCCTCATCAATTTGTTCTAACTTTAAAGGGACAATAGAAATGATTTTATGACGCTCTTCCCTCATCAATTTGTTCTAACTTTAAAGGGACAATAGAGATGATTTTATGACGCTCTTCCCTCATCAATTTGTTCTAACTTTAAAGGGACAATAGAGATGACTTTATTACGCTCTTCTCTCATCAATTTGTTATAACTTTAAAGGGACAATAGAATATTTCTGTTACTTTGATACCCTTTGTCCAATTCATAAATTATTGACGAGTTGAATTTATAGATTTAGATCTTTTATTCCATCTAGTAAAATCATGGATCACCAAGATTGGTATCTATATTTTTACAGGAATTCTAAAGATGCTAAAACTCTACTGATCAGCTATATCTCGATATCAATATACCTATTTAAAATGTATTTGAAGTTAGATTATGGGTAAGAATACAAGGTGAATATCATTGGGTTTTAATTTACAACACTTAAAAAAATATAAAACGAGAATACTTGAAGAATGGTTTTTTATTTCTTAACAAGGAAATTTGTTTTATTGTTGTTTGTTTATTAATTATATCTATCTATCTATCTACAGACTGGATATACAAAAAGTGGTACGAGTAAAAAACACATTACTTGAAATGACAGAAGATCAACAGAGTCAGCAGTAGCGCCACTAGCGACACCAGGGAGCATACGAACAAGATGTACGTTACGGCCACCTGACTATAAGATAAATCTCCGACTTCCTGCTAAATAAAGAAATTACAACACTTGGTTAGAATCCTTC